GGTGAAGCCCACATCCTGTCCATGAAGGCTTCCTTGGTGGGTGGGAAGCGATGGAGGATTTCCTTCCACGCTACTCCGGTCAAGTAGCCATTTATTCTCCCACCTTCTTTTCTTCCCCTTCTCTCTTTTGTCCTTCTGTTCTGTCCATCGTTTCCTCCTACCATCCTTCCTTCCATTCATCCATCTATCCATCCATCCGTCTTCCCATTCTCCTCCATTCCTTTATCCATTCTCCCATCTTCCCATTCTCTCCTTTTTCTATTCCATCCATCTATCCTCCCATTCTTGCATCCTTTTATCTTCTTTCCTCCTTTCTTCTCTTCCTTCTGTTCATGCTTCCAATCGCCCATCCTGCCATCTTCTCCTTCCTTCCTTCCTTCCTTCCTTCCTTCCTTCCTTCCTTCCTTCCTTCCTTCCTTCCTTCCTTCCTTCCTTCCTTCCTTCCTTCTTTCCCTTCATCCATCCATCTTTCTATCCACCCATCTGTCCAGCTAACATTGACTGGCATCTACTCTTTCTCTGCTCCATCTGTACTGTGAGTTGGTAACACAGACTGACTCTGAAGTCGCCGTGCTCCTGCTAAACTTGTGCTGGTTCAGACCTGATTCTTCTTGGCAGAGGATCTGGACTTGTCATCTGGCAGCCCAGTGCCTGGAGGCTCCCATCCGTGTTTAATAATAAGCATTTAATGAGCACCTTCTATGTGCCAGCGAATATTATCTGTTACCAGAGGGTTTGGCTGGGTCCTCTTCGCTTGCCAAGGGTTGTGGTAGGATGAGGGAATTGCTAGATGTTTCGGGTGAAAAACACAGTTTGGCTTCGATGTTTGGCCTCTTCAAGTCTATTCCCATAGCTGTATAGACATCGGACTTAACCTGGCCATAGTGACTGTAGTAACAGTTGACATCACCTGAACCCTCATTCTGTGCTGGCCCCCGTGCCAAGCATGTTATGTCATGAAATTCTTATGATAGCCTTCTGAGATTGCCCAGGGAGAAAAGTGAGGCTCAGAGAGGGAGATCACCTCCTCAAGGTCACAGTCAGGTCTACTTGACCCCAAAGCCTGTGAGCTTAAAACCACTAAATCTCGGTGTAGATGCTGCTTTGAATCTGCGACACTGGGCATCGTGTGGAATGAAGTGCCACCCCCTGCTTCTCTCTTCTCCAGGCACGGGCAGGGAAGAGTCGGCCGACACGTGCTGCTGTAACCAGAGGCACCTTTTTGGTCCCCCCTGCGGCCCCCTAGGGAGATAGTACGCCCCAGCACTGCAAGGGGCGACACTGCAGGCACACTTGGTGTCCTTCAAGCTGGTGAGCAGCGGGCCTCCCGGAGAGCGTGGCTTTTAGGCTGCACGTGTGCAATGCCTCCTGTGTTAACACATTTTCCCGAGTTCCCCACCCAGGACTGGGAACATCCTGCAAGGCAGCTTATCTCTGGCCACAAGAGGGCGCCCCACTCCCAGCCAGAGTGGTTGGGAGTTTGGGAGAGGTGGGTTGGAGGAGCTGCGAGATTCGTTTTGGATGCAATTTTAAAGCACGAGCTCTTACATTAGCGCTTTGGGAAGGGAAGAAATGTTTCCAAGCCTGCTTAAGAGGTTCCTTTCATGCACCTGGTGCCAAGCCAGGGGCTGAGGGATTTAACAGTGAAAACTACATGGTTCCTGCCCTCAAGGGGCTTACGGTCGAGTGTAAACAGAGAAGTTAGAATGCAGTGTGATGTGAGCTAGAGTCTGCAACCAGGACGGTCATGTAATGAGCATTTAATGAGCACCTTCCATGCGCCAGGCTCCGTGCTAGTTGGCAAGGACAGAGAAATGAACAATATAGGGTCATTGCCTTCAAAGAGCCACGGTCCACTTGGGAGATGACAAATTTGGAAAAATGGGAAACTGCAGACTTAGGTGTGTAGATATAGAGAGAGAGAAGGAGAAGGAACATCCAAGCCAGGCTAGGAGGGAAGTGGGCGTATCAGGGAAGGCTTCCTAGAGGAGAGGACACCAGAGCCAAGCCATGAAAGACACATAAATAGGGGCTAACCAGGCAAAGAAATGGAGAGTATTCCAGGGGGTGGCGGCAGCATATGCCCAGGGGCCAGGTCAAGCCGTGTGGAGGGTGGATGTTGAGTGGGACGTCAAGGAGATTGGATCTTATCAGCATATGATAGAGGATCAGGTGCTAAGAGAGTAAGAAGAGAGAATGGTAAGTTATCTGTACTCAGTGGGGTAGGAGGGTGCCTCACAGATGTGATAACATTTGAACTGGACCACGGGGTATGTGTAGGAGTCCACCAGGCATGGGAGGGAGCGAGACAGTAGCAGCATCTGTAAGTGGCAGTGTTTGTATTCCCTGGGGATCAGACATTGGGGAATGTCTGGAGTCCCTGCCCCACCTCCTTGCTCTGTTACCCCATTTTTCTCTTTGGTCACCGCAAAGCGAGGAGGCTGAGAACTAGAGAGAGGAGGGGGAATGGAAATATCTGTGTGAGATTTATGGGGGGTTCTGGCAAACGGGCCCCCAGAGAAGAGCTGGACGAGGTGAAAGTGAAGATTGTGGGCTCAGTTATTGCTCACGGCAGGGCCTCTGGCCTGAGCCGGGGTGGGCAGCAGTCCGGGCTCAGGACTGCGTGGAGGGCCCAGCGTGGGGAGGATGGAGAGGTGGGCCTGGAGCCACAACGCCTGGTCTCAAGGCTGGCACCAACTTCGTCCCGTCCCCGAGCTTCTCGGTCTTTCAGTGTCTCCTTTAGTGGAGAGAGGATAATGACAGCGTCTCCCTCCCAGGGTAGCTGCGGCACCGAAGTGAGATCATGCGGGGAAAGCACTCGATACAGTCCCTGGGACACGGCCACGCTCAAATCCAAGCAGCAGTAATAGTAACTGTCGTCGTTGGTATTTTGATGAAACCTTCTATCTGTTACAGGGACCACTTTAAAAAATGTCCATGTCTCATGCTTATAATTTTAGAGGTGCATTCTCCCAGTTTCAGATCAAAGCTTAATCAGCACCTAGCTGGAATCCTGTTTTTTTTTTTTTTCTGGTATCTTCTCTTCATCTGTTTCTCAGTGTGAGGAATCCTCTTGGAAATTAGCTGACTTCACCTCCTAATGATCTGTTGGCAAGAAAGATGGGCAGAAAAAAAATACTAATTCAAAAAGAATCTTGAAAACCTTGGTATTTTTATTTCAGCATTACACTGTGGATAATTGTTAAGCCCCTCCTGCTTTCTTACTGAAATCAAAAAAATTTAATGATATATTTTATTTAACTCAACATTTGATGCATATAAAATATTATTAATAAGGTATTATATCTTATTATATTTTTTTCCCCATACTGAACCTATTTCAATCAAGCCTAGCTACAATTCAGGTGCTCATATGGTGGGCAGCTGAGCTCTGTTATGGAACAAAAGTAGCTCTAGACTAAGAAATGCTGAAGATGTAACAGATTCATTCCTGCCAGTACAGTAATTCTCAACCTTCAGGATATATTGTACTTCTTTTTGAGAGTATCGACTTGTGTCATAAACATAATTCTGATGTTTAGTAGCACTGATAACACATTCTACTAATGAATTGTGTAAATATCACACCAGTTGCCTTTTTCAGTGAGTTACCCATAAATTTCCTTACATGTATGTAATGCCATGTGCAGCTACGCCTCTCGCCTATTTGCACGGTTGTTACCATGAACGGGCTGTGCCAGAGGCGGGACCAGTGCCTACATGCCAGGTGGAGATGAGACATCCCCGCTGCCTTTTCTCTTGAACAAAGTCACAGCCAGCCCTGGTCCCAGGCTGCGCGAGCCAGGGGGTCCCAGCAAGGACTGTTCTTTACCGTCTTCCCTCGTGCCATTTAGGGACCATTCAGCACACATTTGGGTTCCTGCGATATGTGAGTCGCTGCTTGGCTAGGCACAGGGCACACGAAGAATACTGTTTAATCTCTTGGGTCTTCAAAAGTCCCCAAGAGTAGGATCCAATGTTCCGGAAGCTTCCACTTTGTTTTAGCTGCAGATTCTTTCTTCTAAAGGAAACATCAGAGGGATTCCCATTTCTATAACAATAATAACAACAGTGTCTTGTATTAATTAATTTACAGGAATTATTTCATTTAACACTCTCTAGAACCCTACAAAGAAAGGATTCTCTTAGGAGAGAGCTGAGGTCTGGGAAGTTTAACTGACTCTGTTGAGGGTGATGCAGCCAATATTTGAATCTGGACAGTCTGACCCCAGGGTCTTGTCACTCACCAGGCCGTAGGCTGCCTCCCAGCCCTGCCCTCAAGCAGTACTGTGCGGTGGGGGCCGGGTGGAGGGTGGGGGCCGGGTGGAGGGTGGGGGCCGGGTGGAGGGTGGGAGCACCCAAGAGCCCCTGCTCTGCAGATTCTGCCAATCCCTTGCCGCTGCCCCCACGGTGCTTCCTGCAGCCCAGCCTGTGGTTTTGGGGAGCACCCTTCCTTCCGTGCCTCACTATCTGGGGTGCTTGGTAGGGACTGGGCCAAGAACCAGACAGGGCCGTGGGTAAGCTTGGAAGAAGGGGCGTCCCGGCCACGTGGAAAAGTTTTTGGATTCTGCCAAAGTCTACTTGGATTGCTTGAAAGTCTTCAGGCTTAAGGTCTGCAGAAATGGGTTGAATGTTTTCATATGGATGAAGGGCAGTGAATTTGGGGAGCAAATACACGTGGGAGGTGAACGCCACCTCGGCACAGATCACCTGGACTCACTTGAGCCAGCCTGGGATTTACTGTCTGCTTCATGGCCACAGAGCAGCTCGTTAGCACGGTTATCAGTTTGCTTGTGTTCCATGGTTGGAGGGGTCTCTTGGGGGGCAAACCCCTTTTGCCGAGGCTCTTTCTCTCTGCCTAAAACACCTTTGGGCTCTTCCAGTTTCTCTCCATGGGTTTTGGAGCCCTCGCGGGAGACACGGGCTGGCTGTCCCTGCTGTCACTTTGTGCACCTTTGGATATATTTCCTCTCCCTCTTTCTCTGTGTTTCTTCTCGCAGGGCCAAGAAGAAGAGCAAGCCCTTGAACCTCAACATCCACAGCAGCGTGGGCAGCTGCGAGAACATCCCATCCCAGCAGCGCTCCCCGCTCCTGTCCGAGCGCTCCCTCCGCTCCTTCTTCGTGGGACAGGCGCCTTTCCTGCCCTCCACCCCTCCCGTGCACACCGAGGCCAGCTTCTCCGCAAGTAAGTCGCGCCAGGTGCAGACTCTGCTCTTTGTCTCGGGCTCCCGAAATGCTCACTGGCGGAGGCTCCTCCGCCCTCCGCCCTGCCCCTCTGGGTGGCTTTGAAGGGGGTGTAATTGGCACCTAGGAGGTTGACTGGCTGTTGTCACTGGTCCCCACTTCCTGCTCTTTCGCCTGCAGGTGTGGATGAATGACAGATGAAAGCAGGCAGGCAGGGCATTCAGGGAACCATCAGCCCTTTCTCTGCCCGCTGCCTCTCAGCTACCTGATTACAGGATTTTTCTTGGCCACTCTGGCTAAGGCATCTGTGATTACATTTTGTATTTTTTTTTCCACCCCACTCGGGTCAATACGTGTAACCTTTACATCTCAAAGATGTATTTGGGTGCAAACCGGGCTGAGTGTGGCCTGGGGGGAGGGTTACATTCTCTGCTGACGAATTTCTGCCGGAGACAGAGTGGTTATTACTCGGAGCAGAAATGGAACTTTCTGGCGATGGAGGGCTGAGGTTTCAGAAGGCGTTTAATCTTCTCTACCCAGAGACCCAATTTGCTGAGCAGTCTCAGACGCGGTCGGAGGGGAGCGCCCCCTGAATAATAAAGCCCAGGCCTCCAGCGAACGCAGCAACTTTTATTGATCGGGTACTCAGGAGGAGGAAGGGTTTCGAGAGTGTGGCAGAAATAACCCCTGACCCCTAATACAGCCACAGGCTGTGCGTGTTTTGTTGCTGCTCTGACAAAATAATAAGATGCCTCTGCTGAGCTCTAGTACGGGTTAATCGCTCCACATTCAGGCCCTCATTTAGTTCTTGCAATAGTACGTTGTGCAGATGGATCATTTCATTCCCACTGTACAGATGAGCAAACTGAGGCTCGGGGACATCGAAGAACTTGCCCAGAGTCATACAGCTATGGAGTCATTGAGCTGGGATTTGAATCTGGTTCTTTCTAACTCCGGAGTACACAAGCTTAATCATCACACACGACTCAATGGCCACGATCCCTCAAATATCCAGCACGGTGCCTTTCTCTAAACGTGGAGTTCTCTGTGTGTTACCTTTTCCTAAGTGTTCTTAAACGGGTTTTAAGGGCTACTGTTGACCCTTGGAGAATTTGATGAAATCGATTAGTTCCTCTCCCTGGACAAAAGGCAAATAGAGCCTCCCACACCCAGCCAGGCGGCGGGGCTGGGGCCGAGTGGGGAACTCGGTTTGCAGCCCTCAAATGCGTGTGGCGCGTCCACGGCAGGAGTCGGCCGCGGGTCTGGACGGGGAGGTGCCCGCATGGACAGCAGTCGGGACGATGCAGAGATCGCCCCGTCTCGGTGCCCAGGGCGTGCAGGCCCTGCATCCGGCAAGCTGAAATAGCACCCTCGACCCTCAGGCCGGCCACAGAGGGCCAGTTCATTAAACTGTCACGAGAAATCACTGTCCGAGAGGGCGGAAGTGCTGGGTGGTGGTCTGAGAGCAGCCGATGAGGAGGGGGCGGCGGGGGTGTCGAACGTGCAGCAGCAGCTGGGCGGGACAGATGCCCCGGCCAGGAACAGACGCCTGGGCCCGAATCCCAGCGGTGCTACTCTCGAGCCGCGTGCCCGGCCTCGAGCGGGTTAAGAGCCTTTCCGCACCTCAGATTCCTCATCTGTAAAATGGGGCCGATAAATAACAGGTTCACCTTGTGGATGGCCGTGAGGATTAGGTAGGCTCGGGCGTGCCGTGTCCTCTGCCCGGAGCCTGGCACACAACAAGCGCATAATAAATGGTAGCTGCCATGGTGATGTTGGCTAGCTCCCTTTCCCTGGTAGCATCTGGTCCGATGATTAATTTTGGGCTGCTGTGGTGAAGTGCCTTGGAGTTCACTCCCTCCCCACCCCCACTTCCCAGGGCCCCAAGAGTGCTTGGCATTTACCTTGGCATGACGCTGGTCGGCTGCCTCCGCCGCCATCTGTCCTTGGCCACCGCCAACCTACCAGCGAATGTCAGCATGCCACCTCTGGGGCTTTGACCACCGGACTGCGCTTTAGTTCGGGCCAAAAGTAAAACCATCTCCTTCCTGCTTCTCACTTTTTGCCCCTGCCCTGGTCTCCATCAAAGAGGAGAGGCCTTTGTGCTCACCCGTGGGCAAAAACAAAGTCCTTAATTGTTATAAACCAGCCCCAGCACTAAGAGGCGCCCAGAAGCACAATCGCCTCTTGACAGTCTTGGTCCTTGAATGGAAAGGGGGTGCCCTGTGATCTCCCAGAGAGGAGAAAGGCAGCGTCTCAGTCTCAGCGGGAGAGCGAGTGTGTAGCCTGAGTATTAGCCGGACCTCCGATGGACCACTCGTATTTCTGTTGGTTCTAACAAGTGACGGACACAGAGGCAGCCTGGCGTGATGGAGAGGGCCCCAGATTCGGAAGTGAGAAGCTCTCTCCCTCTCTCAGTGCTGCCACCAATTGCCTCTGCGACCCTGCTCTCTGCCTGGCACGCCAGCTGCGTTGCCATAGTTAAGGCTCACCACAATCCACCAGGCAGTTACTTTTCCCATTTTACAGATCGGGAAACTGAGGTTGAGGAACGTGCTTGATCTTGTCCGTGTGTTCTGTTCTGAATCCAGATCCAACTCTGGCCTGCATTCCATCCCTTCAGTGCCGCAAATTCCTTTCTGTATCTGGGTCTCAGTTTCCCCAACTGTCCGTGCTTCATGAGGGTCAATTCCAGAGCTTAGACACTTTGTGATTCCAAGGCCTGCCCACTGAGCTTTTCCCAGGCAACTGTTTCGACTCACCGAGAATGCCAGTTTGGGGGACTCCAGGCTGGGTTTGGGGTTGGAGAACACAGCTACCGGCTGCCGGCCTCTCCTTGCTTGTCAGCGATCCTGTTCCCTGCCACCCTGAATTTCAGAAGAGAATTCCCCGATTTCGGGGCCCGGGCGCCAGCCTCCCTCCTGCCGACCCAGCCGAGGGACCCTGGGGCTGCGTCCCTGCCAGGCCGAGTCTGTCTGCCCGCTCGTCCCTGTCGGCTGTGGCTCCGCTCTGCGCCGTGAAGGGTGGCGACACGCCATCTCGTCGCCCCTGATGCTCCTGCCTGGAGATGGGCATTACTGTATCGTGTGGCCGAGCCCCAGAACCTCGGGGTGCCCGGCCACCTCGAGTGGCGACAAGGAGGACTTCACCTCCTTGGGGCTTACCCTGATTCCTTGGTCTGGGGGTGATTCGTGGGGGGAGGAAGGGAAGGAAGTGGCAGGAGACTCAGCCGATGGAGGGACCTGTCTCTGAGTCACACCAGCCCTTCATGTCCATAGCCTCACCCAGCTCCGGCCAACACAACACGCAAGATACCAGACTCTTCTGTCCCACGTGGAAGACGCTGCCTCAGGAATGAACCCGCTTCCCTGGGAAGCAGACAGCAGTGGACTCATCTGTCCGCCATTGCTGTATTTATGCCATGCTGCGTTTGGGTGTGCCGTGATGCTCTTCCAGTGGTGTTGGGTTGGATGCCCTGCGCCCGTGGACCAGTGTTGGTCCCGCAAGCTGTGAGCCTGTGGTCCCTTGTAGGTGATCTCTGAATCTAGCTGACATCCATCAGCGTGTTTCTAAGTCCCCTGAAAAAAGGCTGCTTCAGAATGAAAAAGTGCCATCTAGACCAGGTGTCCTCAAACTACAGCCCGAGGGCCGAGGACATTTATCCGGCCCACCGGGTGTTTTTGCCGCCGCTGCTTGTCCTGCTTAGCAGCCGACTTGTCCTGGGCCCACAGTGCGCATGTGTGGAATGTGCACCGCTCTCTCCAACGGTCTGCGGGACAGTGAACTGGCCCCCTGTTTAAAAAAGTTTGAGGATCCCTGATCTAGGTGGATGGAGTAGATATTTGTCATCATTCATTAGTGGCTGGTGGAAGTGATTTCGGGTTTATAGCAACTAACTGGATGCTGATAAGTCACTGGGCGAATCACTCAACCTCCTGCGTCTAGTTTCTGCCCAGCAAGGATGGAGTGAGGATAAAAGGAGGAAATGCATGTAAATGTCCTAGCACAGGGGCTGGTGCTTGGGTCTCGGCAAAGGGTAGCTTTGGGAGCTATTGCCGTAGGTTGTATGATGAGGTGGCTTTGTAAGAGTGATGACAATGACGATGATAATAGCCATTGGCACGATTGTGTGTTGGCAATGTTCCAGGCATCATACAAAGCGCTTTACTTTCATTATTTATGCTCCACAATCCTCTATAAGGTGTGTACCTTTATTATCCCCATTTTACAGATGAAGAAACTAAGGCTGAGAGTGTTTAAGTAACTGGTCCGAGGCCACAAGGTCAGGGAAGAGGCGAAGCTTGCATTCATTCTGAATCCTCCATTCTGCTCTGCAATGCCGGGGTGGGAAATTGCAAAGCCGCCTTCATGGAGACCTGCTTGCTCATCAAGGAGGAAACCGAACTTGCTCGAGCGTTCCCTCCAGCGCCCTTGCCAAACTGGGGGGGCTGTGTTGTGGCCATGCCCCTTTGTTAGCTTGCTACAGCACCCACCCTGGCTAACCATTTGTTACCCCGCCTGGACCCTGCTGTCCCTGTTCGAGGGATCTTTTGTCCCAGGTGGTAGCCATCCCCGCAGGGGGCAGGCAGTTCCAGAAAGTGGCCAGAAGAACTCGCTTCCGGCAGCTTCTGCAACTCATTCATCCTGGACACCGTTGGTAGAAGATGAGGAATGACACAGTCCTTTTGCCACCTGGAGTTTCCTGCGTGTCTCTCTATTAGCTGCCCGTGAGGGCTGAGCACTTCATGAAGGGCAGCGGCTCTCAGAGGGGACAAGTGACTGATGGTTCCAGAACTTCCCCATCTCGGTGGTAATGGCACCAGCTGGAATTGTGTCGGAGGCCCAGGTCTTAGGAAATGTCCTTTACGAGGTGTCTTGAAAGATGGCACTCAGCTCTCTTCATCTCTTCTCTAAGCAAGTCCCGCTCTTTGTGTTGGGGACAAGGCAAGAGAGAGTGGACCCTCGGCTGAGAACCTGGCCTCGCGTGTTACCTTGAGGCTG